CAAGTATTACAACAACCCTTCACTACTCTTTTCCCATCACAATCTACCGATCCACCAAAACCAAATTCCAATGATGAAACAGATGGAGGAGGTTTCGGAGGAACATTTGTTGATTTGGAATTTGATTCCGAAGAGGAGAACATATATGATCATATGCTGATGTCGGGGAAGCAGTTCAAGATTCTCAATCGAAAACTCAATTCTATTCTTCAATCACAAGGTGACTCTGGAGCAAAGAATTCAGTGTCAGGGATAGAAGTTGATGTGATGCTCAAATCTGCAGAACTTCGAATGCAGCATCAATTGGTTGTTATCGATAAGAACAACGAGTTGAGAGTCAAGGATCAGGCTGATTCTTTTAACTCTGAAATCAAAGATCTTATTATGGTAGCAAAATAACGTCATGTTCTTTTTGTTAAAGATGTCAAAACCATAAGAGAAAATGTTAATCGAAAACTTGAGGAGTTGAAGGTTGATGCATCCAAAGAGCTGAATGAGATGAATTCCAATTATTCGATAATCAAGTCGAATGTTGATACTATAGCGGCTGCAGAACGATTGTTGAATGGTATCAAGCATTAAGTTCCAAGCTTGACGCAAAGGCTACAACAGATACTCAAAGTTTCGACAAGATGGGTGTTTTACTTGGTGAAGTGAAAGAGTTAGTGTCGAAACCGGCTCCAACTTCATTTTTTAACTCCTGAGTTTTTAACTCAGAAGTTACACAGTTTGGATCAAGTCATTCAGAAGGTTGTTGCTCCAATTTCAAAATTTACCAACATGTTGCTTGTTGGTGCCCCTCCTGTTGTCACAGGGGTGCAAGGAGGAGAAAAGAAAATTCAAGAAGGCAAACCTTCGAAAACTACAAAAGGGGTTGATAAGTCGAAAAAGATTGAGAAGATTGTAACTACTGGTGATTTAACGAAAGTTGTATCTACTCAAGTCCCAACACCGATAGTTTCAAAGGTGATTACAACAGAAACCATCAAGACAACAACAAAACCTATTCTGAAGGGAATTGTTCTTGGCTCTTCTACTGAAGGAGGAAGTTCAAGCTCATCTAAACCAAATCCTTCTGAAGATGATGGTAAAGGGAAGGGGATTTTGGTTGAAAAATAGAAAGAAGAAAAGAAGGCCGAAATTGAAACTGAAATGGATAAACAAAGGCAGATACAGAGAATACTAAGACTTCGTGAAAGTGATCCACCTGGTATGGATAAGGGAGATCCAAAGAAGTTGTATAGCTATGAGAATATTGAAGCAAGAGTTGCTTACAATCACATGTATGTGTTTGAGGAAAAGCCTAACAAAAGCTATTCTATCACTAACACTGATATGAGTCAACTTGATTTTCCGATGAATTAAATGATGTTTATCATGGCTCAGTACAAGATACTTGAGAAGTTCGACAACGAGGATGATTTTATTCATATGAAACTTAGGTTTCATGAGGTTGTTGGAAAAGAACCAGAAGAAATATGGTTATTAGTGAAGATCAAGAAGGTTATCAGCATAACAAAAGATGTAATGTTAGAGAATATGATACGGAATTTTCGGTATCATGTTGTAAGAGCGAACAATCAAGTATATGATTTCTCGGTTGCTGATTTTCCTCTAATGAACTTGAATGACCTGATTCAAGTTGCATTAATTTTGAAAGACATGGAGGCTTCGCAACTTCAAGGGACTAACAAAGATGTATTGAGGCTTGGTCTTGCCCATATCAAAATCTTCATAGACAATTAATATGATTGTCTAGCATTGACTGATGTGGAGTTAGCATCAGCAATGGGAAAGGAAGTGAAAGTTTCTATGGAATTGTCAAAGACTCAAGCTGAACTGAAGAAATATGTTGATGGGGAGATATGTTTAAAGCCTTTTGGATTGGTCTTTGCTGGAAAAGATAAAAATGGAAAATCTAAGAGGTTCTTATTTCAGTCTTCAGAGATAGAAAGATATACTACTTCGCAATATACGAACTTCATTGTCCGTATGAATAATTGCAAGAAGAACAATGATGGAGATAAAGTTTAGTTGAGGAAGATAATGACATCGTACTCGGAGATACGAAGGATGATGCACTTTGCTGCACAGATTCTCACGAATTGAGAAGTTCGACATGATTACAAAGGGGGAGATTGTAGAGTCGAAATGTCTTGTAATATGTCGAAGTCTGTGTATTTGTCTATTTCGTATGTTTTCTATGTATTTGCTAAGGCATCTTTTTAATGAAGCATAATGTCTAGCCTTAGTATTTTTTATACTTTTAGCCTCCTATAAATAGGAGCTGAACATAGAGTTGATAGTTGAGTTTTCCCATGTTTACTATCAGTTTTGTACTCTTGTTCTCTGAAAGTAATATGAGCTACACCAGACCTTATTTACTTCTCGTGTTCATCTTTTACTCTGATTTGATTCTCATACTCGATTAAACACTTCTAAAAAATATCTTCTAAATCTTCTTCAATCCTTCATCTCTCTTGAATTTCGACTTTCTTTGGGTTTCTAAGGGGTTTATTAATTAGATTTAACCTCAGAGAACCGAATGCATCCTCTCAATTTCAACCTAATTTCTGGGATTTTATAATTGAGGAAATCTGACCACCACGTTGTGGTTGACCGCCACCACGATGTGGTCTTCGTGTTAATCGCGTGTCTGCCATGTCAGCAAATGGGTCATGATTCTTCCAATCACCATGTCGCGGTTATGTGACCACGACGTGGTCTTCAGGCTTTTTCTTTTCTTCTTTTGTGCTAGCTCATGTTTCCTGCTTCCAAATCCTCGTATGCTTCCTTTTTGTTCCAAGCAAGTCTTTGCCGCTACAAAAAATAATTTAAACATAATAAGTATCTTTTTTTCCAGATTATGCATAATTATAGGTAAAAGTATTAGAAAGATGCATTAAATATGTAGTTAATTATGCACATGTCAAAATACGCCACACCTTGTTTTTGTTTGCCCCCAAGCAAAACTGATCTTATTATCATCATATCAAGAGTTTAACTACCAACATCACACAAAACAATCCATTTTGAGCCTCTCCATTACTCCAAGACCGCAATGCATGTATTTGTGTCTAAATTTTTCCTAAGAACTTCCCCAATCCTAAATACTCACAATCTTCTTAAAGACTTGCCCACTTCTTCTGAACAACGCTCATTTTATGCATCCCTCTGAATCCGTCTCCAAAAAACTTTTCTTAACCTCAAAGTATTTTTGGTTAAACCACCAAGCATACATATAGAAAAATAACCTAGAAAACAAAAGTACAATAAATAACTTCGCAAATTTTGCCTTATTCTTGAGTCTTTGATAATTTTGAGTTTGTCTTCATGATATTTCTTGATATTCATAGCTTATAGACTCTTATTCTTCAACTTTTGCAACTTTTTTTTCTTTTTCTATTTTTTTTTTCTTTTCTCACTTTTTTTCGCTCAAAACTAAAAATCTTATCAAACATATGCTTAAAAAAGGGAACATAACTTCAACCCTTATTGGTTAGAAGTATTAGTCTAAGGTGCAATGACTACATAAGCTCTCCTGGATACATTTATGGTACACGATGCTAAACATATTGCGGCCCTCAAACTAAGCAAGGTCGTGTTTTTGTTCTCTAATTTCACTAGGATAGGGAAGCCACAAATAAACTATAACATATATTGTCTCAAATAAACATTGAAACTCGCATCAGATCCTCCCACACAACACTAGCAAGCTAGATCTCAAGACAACAATTTTGTTTGACTATATTCAGTTTTAGATTATTGTTTTGAAATCTTTCTAATAATTTTTTAGAATCCTAGCCATTTTTCAAATTTTTTATTAGAATATTTGTTTTGCTAGATTCAACCCCCTACCGCAAACTTAAATGACACAATGTCCTCATTGCATACTAAAACAATAAAGAATATATAAATTAAAGAGGAAGAATTGGAACAGACTCCCATTGGGTAGTAGTGGCAAGATCAAATTCTGAAAGTCTGTGGAAAGCTTGGACTTCTCATAATATGGCTGCAAACAGTACTTCTGGACCTCTTCTTGTGAATGCCAATGTGCCGGATCGGAATACAATCAAAGAACCATTCTTGAAAAATGTGTTGAACCGCTGCCACGTTGTGGGAAAGCACCGCCACGACATAGTGTAAATCTGGAAGTCGTAATGGTCTAGCTAAATAATGTAGCCATTACGTGGTCTAAGGACGCCACATTGTGGTGCAGTCGAAAGCAGTAGTGGTAAAAACTTTTGCTATAACGTATTGATGATGTCCACGTCGTGGTTCCTTCTCATATTGTCTTTAAAAATTGGAGTAAGGCATCGACTCTTTGTAACATGTAGGACCATTCCCAAACTTCTTTTTCAATAAAATATTTTTCAAAATGCCTATTTTCTTCATCATAATGTGGGAACCCCATACTTATCTAAGAACATGGTCTTCGATTGTGATTTTCAAAAAGTTCACGACTTCTTCATCCATTAAGCTTCTTTATCGCTTCATATACTTTTTTTTCTAAAACTACAAAATAAATTAAGAAGACTAGAGAAACACATGATTAATTGGTTAAAATAAAAACTAAACCAAAATAAAACTAAAAACGAAAATAAAACTAAAAAGGAAAATAAAATACAAACTCTAAAAATCGAGTTACCTCCCAAGAAGTACTTCTTTTTTAGGAGTCGTGAGTCGGACTCCTTCCCACTCTACGTTGTTGAAGTTCGCAGTGGGATCTCTCTTTGCTCCTTTTGCTCCTTCCATTTTCTCTTGTAAGCTTGAACCCTTCTCTTTTAAGCCTTCTTTGAATTCTCCTTCTTCTACTTGTGGGCACTTTCCTCATACTTACGCTTCACCCCTTTTCCTTGCTTCTTTGCCTTGTTTACCTTCTTATCATCTTCCTTAGATCCTTCCTTATCTACCTCCATCTTGACCATTATTGGCTCCTTCAATTCTCCTCCCATATATTCATATATTATTTCCACTTCTTCATACAATTCCTCTTCGATTTAATCCATTTCTTCTTCCTCTTGAACCTTAGGTGTAGTAAATGCAATCACCTCAAAACTCATAGGATTCGAGGATCTTGGCTTCAAATGTTTGACTTTTTCAACACTAGGCTCCTCCCAAACCTTAAGCTCTTCTTCCATCATCTTCTCAATTGCAACTAGCTCATAAAGATCCTCTTCCATAGCATCCATCTTTGACACTTTGTCTATTGGCTCTTCATGATTCACTTTAGGACTCATCTCAAAGGTAATAGAATCGTTTTCTACACGAAGTGTGAGCCTTGAGTCGTGGATGTCAACTAGTTCTCTTGCGGTACTCAAAAATGGTCTTCCTAAAATAATTGGATGTTCTTCAATGATTCCTCGTGGGTATGTTGTCGAGTGATCTGCCATTCGAATGGTCATCCTTGTGTCTTGGAGCTTTGGTAATCCGAGCTTTTGATCGAAAGAGTATGGCATGAGATTAATGCTTGCCCCCGAATCGACAAAAGCATTAATAGAAATCGAATCGCCAAATTTACAAGGCAATATGAGTTAACCTGGATCTCCCATCTTGATTGGTAACCCCTTGATAATCGCAACCGAACACAACTCATTAAGAACTATAGTTTAGGCCTTTTCTAACTCCTTTCTATTACTCATTACATCTTTTGCAAATTTTCAAAGTTTTTCCATTGATTTAAGGAATGGGGTGTTGATCGAGAGTGAAAGCACTAGTTCCACAAATTTCTTTTGTTCGAGCTCCAGAGAATGTTTGATTGCTTGAGATGGGAATGGAAAAAGTGGCTGAAATGAACTGAGAAGAGAAAAAAATTCTTCAGCTCGAGATCACAACGTGGTGAAGCATCAGAGAGCAATCCACTTTTTGATATTTTGGCTCCGGGCTTTTCTTCTTCCGCACATAACTTAGACTGACTTATAGCTGCTTCATGGGTCATTATTTGATCAGAATGAACCTCTTCTTCGGTGTAGATCGCCATGACATGAGGTTGTGACTTTGGGTCTTGATTTTTGGGTGGTAACCTTTCATTTACAAGTATGGTTTCTCACATTTTCATCAGTAGTATCATGCCTCTTTTCAGATGCTTCCATAAATCTATGTAATACTGACTAGAAATCCATCTTCTTTTCTGGTGGTGGTTGCTCTTTTTGATAGAAACCCCTTCCTGTTTGTCTGTACTTCTCATCCTTTTGTTTCTTATACTCTTCGTATGGCAACCACTCCATATTGGTCTTCCTGCAATATTCATCATATTTATCACCACTTGAGCAGAACACTTGCGCCTTCTTGTTCCCATTTTCATCCAAATCATAATCATTGGTCAAATGTGGATGACTACAATTGTCTCAACCAACTCTTATCGCATGAATCGATTGATCTAATTTTGTCATTCGCCTATCCATAGAATCTAATTTAGCTATGATTGCAGCTAAGTTCTCGTTCCCTCCATCTCCTTTTCCTCTTGTCATATCATCTCGTGGATTGTGGTACTCTCGTGAGTGTTTTTCAAATTCTTCAGTTAATTCTTTTATAGTTGTCAGCTCTTTCTTCGCCATAGGCCCTTGTGAGTCAAGGAGTTGTCTAGTAGTTACATTCACTCCATCATAGAAGATGGAAACTTCTTGCTGAACATTCAAATCATGTTGAGAGAAAATTATAAGCAAGCCCTTGTATCTTTCTGAAGCTTCATATAAGGACTCTCCCACCTCTTGTTGGAAGTTAACAATCTTCTTTTTAAGATTTAAAATCTTCGAAGTTGAACTAAATTGCTCAATGAAAGAATCACGAAGAGTAGCCCATGTGGTAATAGATTCGGGTGCAAGAGACTTCAGCCAAACTTTTGCTTCATCAGTAAATGTGACAGAAAGCATCCTTAGTAACACAAAATCTCGTGGAACATTAGGGACATGAAAGTAGTTTGTAATATCTTTGACCTCATCAGTGTGCTTGAAAGCATCTTCATACTCTTTCCCAACGAAAGTATATCCTTGAGCATTGATAGAATGTAACCCTTGAGCTCAAAACTTCTCTCGGTTGGTATCTTGGGTGGAACTAGACCTGGTCCATGTTCTTCATGTATCCTCTTCTTATAGTCTCCCATCATCGTTCTTGTAATGCATGTCATCTCTTCAACCTCACTTTTAATCTCTAAATTGTCTAAACTTCCTTTGGTAGAGGATTTTGGCTCGTATCCAATTCCTTTTTTATCTAGCGTCCTCTCGAAGCTTTCAAATCCTTTGTCCGATTGAAAAGTGCTTGTTGACTCATTGACTTTCTTATCCTTCTTGTTGTGGAAAGCAGATTCTGGGTCTTGAAGTGGCGGAACAGTAGGAGTTTTAGATCCATGGGTCATAAATCACTAAAACTAAACAAAAACTAAAAAAATGCATAAAACGAATAAAAATCAATAAACTAATAAATTCACTGAAGTGAGACCACGACGTGGTTGTGTCTCAGAAAGAAAAACAAAATCTACTGATTGCAGAAAAGTAACTTTTTGTGGTTTTTACCCCACAAAAATGATCGAATAACTAAAAGCAATTAAATTGATAATCAAATAAGTCGTTCCCCGACAGCGGTGCCAAAAACTTTGATACGGGAAAAAGCTCCTATTTAGTTTTAAATTTATAACCTAACAAAATCTTACTAACTATGCACCTATAGGTAATGTACCTGGTCAGTTTATAGTATAGCTCATGTAAGTCGGGTGTTGATCACAGGGAACGAAATTCATTTAATTAAATTAAATACTTCTAATTAAAGTATTAAACAAACTATGATTGGGGGGGGGGGGTTTACATATTTTTCAAGGTCAGAATAACTTAATATCAAGTAGCAAACAAGAAAGCAATGAAAATAAAGTAACTTCAAGAATTAAAAGAATATTTCTGCCTAGAGCCGATTTCATTTTCTCCTACGGTTGATTTCTTATGGATAGATTATATTGATTACCAATTATCTAGCTATTATGATCAAATATCTTGGCCTACCAATTGATGAATGACAAAGCAATGAGCATGCACAAGTTGAACACCAAATTGATAATAGCACAATTGGATTATGAATTATATTAGTTACTCTTCTATGATCAATTCAAGCAACCAAGCATAACTTAATACTAATTATGTTCTCTAAAACAGCTAAAGTTACTAGCTTTAATTACGTAAACTAATATGTGATTAATCCTAGCTCTAATTATCTAATGATCATAAACAATTAGGAGATACATTCATGTAATTAATATAAACAATTAACTCACAAAATCTTATTTATAAGCAATATAAACTAGAACTAAAATATGCTAGGGTTTATATATATAGATATATATATAATATATATATATATATATATATATATATATATATATATATATATATATATATATATATATATATATATATATATATATATATATATATATATATGTAAATAAAACACAAGTAAAATCAATAATAACTAGAACTAAAATATGCTAGGGTTTATATATATATATATATATATATATATATATATATGTAAATAAAACACAAGTAAAATCAATAATAATCATCTAATATCGAAATCAACACATAAGTATCAAGCTCATCTTCACCAAACAGAAGTAAAAGGTGATTAGCCTCTCATTGTAGCAGGAAAAACACATTAGATCTAAGTAAAGTAAGCTAGACATAAGTTTAATAATCAAACCAACTAGATCAATGTTAAATATCTTCTAAATCTTCTTCAATCCTTGAGCTCTCTTGAATTTCGACTTTGTCTAGGTTTCTAATGGTTTATTATTCACAATTAACCTCAAAGGACCAAATGCATCCTCTCAATTTCGACCTAATGTCCGGGATGTTATAATTTAGGAAATCTGACCACCACATTGTGGTTGACCGCCACCACGATGTGGTCTTGGTGTTAATCTTGTGTCTGCCATGTCAGCAAATGGGTCATGATTCTTCCAATCACCACGCCGCGGTTATGTGACCACGACGTGGTCTTCAGACCTTTTCTTTTCTTCTTTTGTGCTCGCTCATGTTTCCTGCTTCCAGATCCTCGTATGCTTCCTTTTTGTTCCAAGCAAGTCTTTGCCGCTACAAAACATAATTTAAACATAATAAGTATCTTTTGTTCCATATTAAGCATAATTATAGGTAAAAGTATTAGAAATATGCATTGAATATGTAGTTAATTATGCACATATCAAAATACCCCACACTTCGTTTTTGCTTGCCCCCAAGCAAAACTGATCTTATTATCATCATATCAAGACTTTAACTACCAACATCACACAAAACAATCCATTTTGAGCCTCTCCATTACTCCAAGACCGCAATGCATGTATTTGTGTCTAAATTTTTCCTAAAAACTTCACCAATCCGAAATACTCACAATCTTCATAAACACTTGCCCACTTCTTTTGAACAACGCTCATTTTATGCATCCCTCCGAATCCATCACCAGAAAACTTTCTTAACATCAAAGAAATTTTGGTTAAACCCCCAGGGATACATATGGAAAAATAACCTAGAAAATAAAAATACAATAAATAACTTGGCCAATTTTTCTTTATTCTTGAGTTTTTGATAATTTGGAGTTTTTTCTTCATGATACATCTTGATCTTCATAGCTTGCAGACTCTTATTCTTCAACTTTTTATAACTTCTTTTTTCTTTTTTTATTTTTCTTTTTTTGTTTATTTTTCTTTTCTCACTTTTTTTCACTCAAAACTAAAAATCTTATTAAACATATTCTTAAGAAAGGGAACTTAACTTCAACCCTTATTGGTTAGAGGTATTAGTCTATGGTGCAATGACTACATAAGCTCTCCTATATACATTTATAGTACACAATGCTAAACATATTTTTGCCCTCAAACTAAGCAAGGTCATGTTTTTGTTCCATGATTTCACTAGGATAGGGAAGCCACAAATACACTATAACATATATTGGCTCAAATAAACATTGAAACTCGCATCGGATTGTCCCACACAACACTAGCAACCTAGATCGCCTCCACGACGTGGTCTTGGTGTTAATCTCGTGTCTGCCAAGTCAGCAAATGGGTCATGATTCTTCCAATCACCACGTCACGGTTATGTGACCACGATGTGATCTTTAGACCTTTTCTTTTCATCTTTTTTTAGCTCTCGTTTCCTGCTTCCAGCTCCTCATATGCTTCCTTTTTATCCCAAGCAAGTTGTAACGGCCGGAATCCAGGTATTTACTTTTCTTTCCCTTTAAATGAGATTTCATTGCATAATTGGTCCCTTCGTATGCCGGGTGTACTTATGGGTACGCTTAGCGTACTGGGGAGGGCTGGTCGCGGTGGTGTACCACGTACACGGGGCGTACCAAGGGGTATGCAGACCGTACATGGCTGAAGACCAAAACCTTAATATTTGGATTTGTGACCTATATAAACGTTCTTAAGTCATTTGGACCTTACCCGTAACCAGCCTCCATCACTCTC